TTTGTTTTTATTTTATGTGTATGAGTATGCCTGTATGCCCCAATGGCTTTTTTTTGTGGGTGCTGGGGATCCAGACTCAGGGCCTCATGCCTGTGCAACACGTACTTTACTGACTGTGCCATCTTCCTTATCTTTTTGAGACAAAGTGTATGTAGTATGTGTCCCAGGCTGGACTGCAGTTCACATCTTCCCGACTTACCTCCTCAGGCAAAGGTTTCAGGCCTGGGAAGACTTGTGCAATCCCAGTAGGAGTAGAAGTAGTTAGGGGAAAGGTATGTTTAGACATATTCCAGAAGTGTCTGACTTTCTCTCAGGAAGCGGTGGGAAGGCCTGGTGCACATCTCTGAGCTTCGACGGGAAGGCCGAGTGGCCAATGTGGCTGATGTTGTGAGCAAAGGCCAGAGGGTGAAGGTCAAAGTACTGTCCTTCACTGGGACCAAGACCAGCCTGAGCATGAAGGTGGGTGATATGTCCAGTTGTTTCCACAGCTGATGGCCCGGGGTGTGTCGGAAGACCGCAAATGAACACCATCCTTGTTATTGTGCTCTAGGATGTGGATCAAGAAACAGGAGAGGATCTAAACCCAAATCGACGTCGAAATCTTGTCGGGGAGACCAACGAAGAGACGTCAATGCGGAACCCTGACAGACCCACTCACCTCTCCCTCGTCAGTGCGCCTGAAGTAGAAGACGACTCACTGGAGCGCAAGCGGCTCACCCGGATCTCTGACCCTGAGAAGTGGGAAATCAAGCAGGTTGGGGTCTCAGAGGCATTCAGCATGTAGCGTGGTGGTTAGGGGTGTGGGCCTAGACACGACAACCCGTGGTGGCTTCTGTCCACTGACTAGTTGTGTGAGCCAAGTTACTGTACCTAGTGTGCCTCAGTGCCCTTAATCTGTCCACCAGGGCCCGTGATGGCAGGGTGGGATTAGCAGAGTGAACAGAGTTGAAACTTAGCACCTAGATTGTGGTAATTGTAATTTTGACTTCATTGTTATTTTCTTCATTCTTCAGTGAGCATTAGAGTGATGGTGTGTCGAGCATTAGGGCTGCAATGACAGTATTTCATAGTTCCTGTCCTTAGGGAACTCATTGTCCAGTGCGTCAGAGACAGTATTAAATAAGTAACTGTAGGGCTACATGCCACATGATCGTTGTGTGCTGGGGGCTGTGGCCAAAAGGGAAGGCCTAGTAACCCTTCTTGGGGACAATACCCCTGAGCCCGTGCCTTCAGCACCATGTCATGCTGTTCCCTGGGGATGGATGTGTGCCTCATTCTTGACTCTGATACGCTGGTTTCCAGGAGAAGACAGTTTGTTTTCCTTGTGTGAAGTCTCTGGAGTTAACACTGAGAAAGAGTCTTGCTCCTAGCTCCAGGTCTTAGTTACGAATGCTGCCTCTGTCCTTTGCTAGATGATTGCTGCCAATGTGCTTTCCAAAGAAGAGTTTCCAGACTTTGATGAAGAGACTGGCATTCTCCCTAAGGTGGATGATGAAGAAGGTAGTCTTCCGCTTGACTCGATGGATGGGGGGTTGGGAGAGTGACTGGCAGATTGTGTCACTAGAGTAAGGCTGTTTATGGTTTAACTGAGTGGGTATTTGTCATTTGTTCCCTGGGGTCACCACTCACCTCTGGATAGGCAGAAGCACTTGTTTAAATAGTCAGTGTACCTGCTAAACTCATTTGCTTTTCTTGGGGTCCAGTACCATTTTTTAAAAATATTTTTAAGAGATTATTATATTATTATTATTATTATATGTATGTGTATATATTTTATCTATCTCACTATTTATTTGTTTATTTATTTATTCATTTATTTATTGGATCAGGGTCTTTCTATTATGTAGCTTTGGCTGTTCTAGGACTTGATAGGTAGACCAGGTGGTCTTGAACTCTCAAAGATCCACCTGCCACCTGCTGAGATTAAAGCTGCAGTGCTTGGGGAGGCCAGCAAAGGGCCAGAAATCAGATTCCCTGGAACTGGAATTAGTGTTGTGAACTGCCATGTGGGTGCTGGACTCAAACCTGCATATGTAACATATGTATTTCTCTACAAGAGAAACAAGTGCTCTAAATTGCTGAGCTACTATTCCTTAGTGTTTATCTAGGTTACTTAGAGTTACATTTTATTTGGTTCATTGCCTTGGAGTAATTTGCATATAAATTTGTTGTTCATCCTTTCTTTTTTTTTGGCATGGGATCTCATGTAGTCTAGGATAGACTGGATTCTTTGTGTGTGTGTGTGTGTGTGTGTGTGTGTG